CACACACACAGCTCTACAAAAGGGAGAAGGACATGCATGCAATTGTATGTGTTCTTTAATTCATTGCATGGATAATGTGATCGACGTGTTTTTTGGACACATCCGCATTCTCCGTCGAAAGCGCAAATAGGCCCATCCACTAGGGGGGTCGTGCACCGCGCTCAGCTTGCCTGGGCGCCTTTCTTGTTCGGAACCTGGCCGGCCCACTGCGAGCTTGGCTTCAAAAGGAGCTCTTTTTTTCCGTCATTTTCCCTGTCGATGTAGCGAGTTGATCTCTCTCCGTCAGACCGTCCCACCACTGGCACGTGTCGACGACGACAACGGCGGTCCAGATGCTCGAGATCTGTTGCGACACGGGCAAGGCCATGCATGGCGACTGAGTGTGCGAGCACCTACATGCCGATCTCGGTGAAGCGGCTTGGAGCATCTGCCATCGTCCTCACAATCGCCATATCGAGTCACCTCGCGATGGGCGTGCCTCCAGACGGTACCCGCACACCGCAACACATGCATCACGGCATCAGTCAGCAGACACGGACGGACACGTACGTGTGGGTAAGCCATGCGTCCATGCGTTCGTTCGTTGTGTTCAGCTCCCCTCGTGCAGCTTGCACAGGCCAACGCCTCCTGTTTTGAGTGGGACGTGGAATATGAAGGCCACGACCTCCCAGACACTTTCCGGTCTCTCGGCCATATGGTCGGCCGCCCTTTTGACTGTCAGAGGGGCTGTGCGGCGGACGCCCAGTGCCAGGGGTGGACCTACAAGCGGCGGGAGGGGGGGTGCTTCTACAAGTCGTCGGATGTCGGCAGGACGAGTAGGCCGCCGCTCGATGACGACGAGAACAACTGGGTGGTCAGTGGGGCCAAGCACAGCAGGGATTGTGAGCACAGAGGGATCGACAAGGACCCCAATGGCTTCGCGGGCGGACACAAGTGGCCTTGCTACGAGTACAACGGTAAGCGCGTGCCTTCCTTCTCATTGTTTGTATGTGTCTGTGCCTTCGTTGCCTTCCCTGTCGCCCTTCCACGTAGTTGCGTACCTCTTCAGCTGCGGTTCCGCGCGGTCGCACTACCGCCATGGGACGGAGAACGTCATCATCCAGGAGTGCCACCGCATGTGTTATGAGGTCCCTGGCTGCCGAGGGTTCTCATGGCGGGACGCCTTCCCCCGGGACGGCAAGATCAAGCGCGGCGTCTGCTTCCTCTGCGGCAAGACGGAGACGAAGATCTGCCAGCCGGGAGCAGTCTCGGGATGGGTGGAGGGCCGCGACTGCGGGGCTGTCCCCGGCACATCTTTCCCCCCGGCACCCCTGCCACCCTTCGACCAAGATGGGCTGCACCTGCGGCCGGCAGATGCGTCGCTCTACCACGATTTGCCCACCGATCCTGATGCCTGGGGGCTCGGCAAGAACGGCACCTCGGAAGAGATTTCGTTCCATCGCGGTGACCTGGGCGTGCCGTCCTTCTTGACTGGGAAGCTGCATTATGCGGTGCGGACGAATGAGTACGCCGTGGACCCGCCCAATTGTGGGTGCTATCACCTTGGTCTCACGCCTGATCCCAACACGTCTACGGTGCTGCAGAGCCTGCCGCTGCTGGTCTTCCCTCCCGAGCACTGCCAGAAACTGGTTGGTACACATAGGGGGGGCAGGCACCTTTCTCCCTGCCAACCGACTTATTCTTCTTTCAATTTTCTGTCTGGTTGTCGACGGACGGACGGGTCGTTCAGTGTCAGATGAACCCCCGGTGTGAGGCCTTCTCTTCGGTCAACTACAAGTGTGTGCTGTGGTCACACATGGGCGGCTGGGCGTTCGACCAGGTGGAGCCGATCTCGGTTTCCGGGCCGAAATGGTGTCTGTCCCACCTCATTTGTAAGCAACACACACACACACACACACACATATATACAGACGCACAGGCGCACAGGTGCGGATGCGTGTGTGGATGCAGCGAGGGGGTACGTGTGTGACGTCGATCACTTCAGGGCGAGGTTCACGTCACTCTCTCTGCTCGTTCTGCGCATACCAAACACACAAATGGCGTACGGACAAGCGTGCCAGGCAAAGGTGAGGCGACGGGCAGCGTGCCTACACCTGTCTGTTTGTCTGCCTGGTTTCTCGACCTGCCGTGTGTGTGTGTGTGTGTATGTGTGCAGATTGATGGTGCCCCGTTGGTTATTCTCCTGACTGTGTGTCTGGTGGTGCTGGTTGCGACGGCCGGCGCCGTCCACACCAGAAAGCGCAACGGCAGGACAGTGGTGTGGCGGGTCGTCACGGCGGTCCTCGCCGCACTCGGCTGTATCCTTCATGGTATCTATCGTCAGCATGCCATGCAACAACAAGGGCCCCGCCCCGCACCCCTCCCTGATTGTGTCTTGATGATGGATGCAGTGGTCTTTGTGGCGTCATTGTACCAGTCATCCAATTCGGGGGGAGTTCTGTTCTGGCTCGGCTGCTCGCACTACCTCTTCAACGTGCTCTTCAACGCAGTCTGTGTCGTTCTGTACAACCTACAGTGGGTGAGTGAGTCTCACCGAGCCCACTAACGACACACATAACGACAACATCCATGACACGGCTGACACAATGTGACTGTCCGTCTGTCTGTCCGTCTGCGGATGGGGGTGTGTGTGTGGTGGGCAGGTGTCCCGTCATCCGTTCTACCGGACCTGGTATGACGGCGGCTTGTCGAGGAGCAGACTCACGGGGCTCCCCTCTGCATCCAAGATCACCAAGACGTCCGAACAAGATGCTCAGCAGCAGCAACAGCAAGAGGAACAGCAACACGAGGATGACGGCGATCGACCCATCCGACTGACATTCAGAAGGGCAGCGACCTTCCATGGACACCCTGTGCCGCCCAGGAGAGATCGAGATCGAGGCCGAGGCCGCCAGGCAGACAGCGCGCAGAAGGACACAGCAACGGAGGCGTCGCGTCAGGAGCATTGGTGTGTTGACACCAGCGGCGTGCCCGACACGGATAACATGTCGGCATACTGGCCATCCATCCCCGTCAGCCAGCTGTCCAGCGGCACCCGCCTCCCTCCCTTCAACCACCCCCAGGCCCCAGTCGCTTGCTCGTCGTTTCTCGAGCCACCCATCCCCCTGAGCCAGCTGTCGAGCGACACTGTGTTCCCGCCCTTCCAGCACCCCCAGGCCCCCCAGCTGGCCGACTCCAGTATAGCAAGAAGCGGCAGCAGCGGCTCCTTCAGCGACTACAATCGGACGTTTGTGTCGGCCGATGAGAGCGTCTTCACGGGCAATCAAGTGCCCCCTCGTCTGAGCGAGTCATCGCCCTGCTTCTTGTCTCAACCTTACGGAGAAGGAGAGAGTGGCGAGAAGGCACCACAGAGGGAGCCGGACCTCGAAAACTGCACCGCGACAACCGGGGCCACTGCCTCTCGCGGGGCCGGGCTGAGCAACAAGAGGTCGCATACCGACGACCTGGACGATGAGATGCCCTTCGGGGGCGGCGGTCTGGGGCTAGTGATCATGCTCTTTTGCTCCTTCTTTGCCATCGGTGTCTTGCACCTCTGCTGGTCGCATCTCGTCAAGGCGCCGTTCTTCGCCATCCCGGTAAAGGCCGAGGCATTCGGCAGCCTGGAGCTGCTCAGCCTGGTCGGCACCGTCCCAATATTGGCGATTCAGCTGCTGACCGTTTTCCTGAGCGGGGGCACTGGCTGGTTTGCCGATTCGGTGCCTCAAGTGACCCTGGCGGCCATGTTGCTGTCCTCAGTGAATACGGGTGGTCTGCTGGTGCGGCGGGTCAGGGGCCGGTGTGGCAAGGGTCGGAGACGCGAGAGGCAGCTGAATCGCGGACATCTGTGAATCGCTCACCAGATGAGATGAGATGAGTGTGTGGGCCCGGGAGGGGGCTGTTTTGTTCTAAATCCCGTCCTAGGCGTACGTACGTCCATTCCACGTAGACGTGTATCTGTGTGTATGTGTGAGTACAGAGAGACCAGACCGGCGGGGATATTTGTGTGGTGCAAGTTCGTTACGGCCGTCGCATATAGGAGAACTTCCGCATAGGGTGGCCATGTGATGACTTACAAGAGATTGGGGAGAATGGCGAGGGAGGGACGGAGCGGGAGAGGCGCCCGGTTTTTATCGATTGCTAATCGATGCTCGGCGAGTACGTAGTAGTGCGAGCATTTGTGTGTGTGTTAGTGTGAGCTCTGACTGAATCCGTCAGCAGTATTTTCGGACTGACGGGGTGGGTGCCGTGTGGCGCGGCGCGGTGTGTTTTTCCTGCATGCGTGTGTGCATCGGTCAGATCAAGGAAGGCGTGTGGTATCGTGTGTTGACTCATGGTCCAAGGACGGACGGACGGATGGATGGATAAACGTCCGTCGCCGGGGGGTGCGCAGACGTCCGCACGCACCACACATACACACACACACGCACCGATGGATGCCACACAGCCCGCCCATAAACAATCGGTCGCCTGTACACTCACCGCATGGCAAAAGACCGCCGTATCACGTCTCACACACGTCGCACACAAAGCATCGAGACAGAGGGGATACACACACACACATGTCGTTCGGCTGATAAACAAAAAGTCCATTCAACGCCTCCACGCCTCCAGCCAGCCAGTCGGGCACACTCCTCGCCCGCCGGACGGATAGAGCGACACACGAACCCCTCCAGAGCCTTCGATAAATGCAGATCGGTAGACAGATGCACACACGCACACGCGAAGGGATTACGAATGGATGGATGGAATGATGGATGGATGGATGGATGACCGCTGGAAAAAAGTGTCAGCGGTTCGCATCACCACACCACACCACACAGACAGACAGACAGCCACGAACGAGCGAGAGCGTACACGCAGCCCTCAGACGGATGGAATAGATAAAGACAGAGACACCAGACAGACAGGCAGGCAGGAAAAATAGCTCAGTGCGATCAATCAAGACGAACAGATAGTGCGATGGACACGCACATACAGACAGACATACACACACATCTGCACGCCACGCCACGCTACAGATGGATAGAAGCGATGGACGGAGGGGAAAATCCATTGGACAGACAGCATTATAGACAACACGCGGGGCCCGACACACAGGTGGGCTGGGCTCGGCAGACCAGGTCAGGTCAGCGGCCCTGCTGCTCCGACCGGAACCCCATCGGCTTCTGCTTTTGCGGCTGCTGCTGCTGCTGCTGCCGCCCCCCTCGCTCGAACCTCAGCTCCTTGTCGCCCTCAAAAACCGGCGAGTCGGCCCTCTCCTCCCTGATGGTCTTGAACTTCCACGACCGCCACAACGGCCCCCCGCGCCTCCGCCGCTCTTCGGCCTGCTTGCGTCTCTTCTCCTCGAGGACTGCTTTTGTGAAGGACAGGTGGAGCCCCGACCGAAACTCGCTGGACGACATGCGGACCGTCTCGTCCTCGATGATGTTGGCCAGCCCCTTTTGGCTCTTGGACACCACGGTGTGGGGCGGTGCCGGCTTGGCACCACCTGGGGACGGGCCGGTGGACGCCGTGGCCGTGGGGCTGGTTTCTCTGTCATCCTTGGCCTCTTTGGGTGAGCCCCCGCCCCCTCCACTGCCGCCCCGCAATACCTCTCCCTCGGCGGTCTTCCACGTGACGCGCTTGCGCTCGATCTGAAAGCCAGAAAGGGCCGCGCTGGACACGGATGTCGGGGAGGGATAAGGTCTGGCCGTGGCGGGCACTGAGGAACGCCTCAGAGCTGATGGGAGGGGCGGCGGGGGCGGCTTGTAGTCGACGCCGCCCGGGAGCATGATGACGGGCAGCTCGTCCTGAGAAGGCAGCACCTCCACAGTGTTTTTCTTGGCCAGTAACGGGGGCGACGCAAAGGGCATCGGGGGGCTGCCATGCAGGAGATCCGCGCGGCGCCTCTCCCTCCCGCCATCGATGTCACCGACCGCCGACTTGTTGGCAGGTGAGGCATCCTCCTCGTCGGATGGCGGGGGTACCAGCATCGCGCCCAGCCGCTGCTCTTGAGACGATGCCATGGTGGCCACGGCCGATCGGGCGGCTGCGAGGACGGGGCTCTCCTCTGAAGCCACAGGGATGCTCACTAACCCCACTTCGCCAGCACCCATCGGCGGGCTGCCATCCCACTCTTCAAAAGTGATCATCGGGCTGGGTGGCGGTACCCTCGTGGCCCCCTCGGATTGCTGTGCGGGCCTGACGAACGACGGCGAGGGCGACACGACGGGCGATGGCGTCCGACTACCCCCTCTGGCTCTGGCAGCGAAAGTCTGCAGCCGCTCCTTCTGCAGACGGAGGAAGTCAGCCGCCTTGTCGCTGCGCTTCTTCCTGGCGACCCTCTCTTGGTCGATGGCCTCGAGGCTTGTCCTGGCCCCTCTGGTCTTGTCAACGGGCGGCTTGCTCGTCGAGTCTCGCCGCTTGCGCTTGATCTTGAGCAGGGTGTCGCGGTGCCGCAGCAAGTCGTTGACGTCGATGCCCTCGAGGGCGAGGTCGGCGAGATTCACAAGAGCTATGGGATGGCTCGCCTCTGCGGGTGCAGGGGGTTGGGTGTCGACTTGGGCCTTTTGTGGCGCCTCGACCATCGATGAGGGAGCGGACTGCGCTGCTGCCGCCGCTCCCTCCTGGCCCATTTGGCATAGCGCCCCTGCCGCCGTGGCCGAAGGCGTCACGTGACTCCTCCGGCGCCGCTTGTCGGCCAGACGACTGACTTCCATCAACAACCTGACATACAGTAGAAGGTGAAGCAAAAAGTGTCTGTCCATGGTGGGTGGGTGGATGGATGGATGGCTGCATCAAGCTGAGCTCACCTGAGTGAGGGAGAGGTCTTCATGTCAGCGTTGCCGATCAGCGAGGACGGCGGCAGCAGCAGGCCCTGCGCCCCCACGGATGGATCAGACGTCTCTCTCCCCTGCCTGGGACGCCTGGGCGTCCGGTCGCCTCGCTCGTCCGCATAGCCCCTCTGCACCATCGCCAGAGACACCGTCTTGGACCTCGTCAGCTTCGCGGGCCGCGGCGGTCTCGACTCACTGCCACCTGACTCCTCCCTCTTCACGGACGAGGGCAGCATGACCTTGGCTGACGGGGGGAGGGGCCGCCGCTGAGAGGAAGGGATCAGGGCGGGGGATAGCTGCAGCGCGTTCGCTAGAGACGCCAGCTCCTCCCCGTGTTGCGATCGTGTCAAGGACCGAGTCTGCCGCCCTCCCCCTTTCGCTGCCCTATGGACGATGGCTGGCCCCGGGCGGCCGTCGTCCGACCCGGCCTTGCGATTGAGGTTGTGGCTGTAGCTGTGGGCGTAGTGCGATGAAGACGACTCCAGGGAATGGTGCGAGGGGTCGCTGTAGAAGTCGCTGCTCGACACGACGGACAGCACTGCGGGCGAGGGCGGCTGGTCGTCATATGGGATCCGGGCATGTGGCACGGGCGAGATTCGTATGCCACCCTCCCTCTCCCGGAGATCTTTCCGCCGGTGGTGGGAGTGGTACTCGGCATGTGGGATGGGCGAGGGCCGCTTGATGACGTGCCCGAAGTAGCAGTCGAAGCCCCGCTGCTGGCGGTCGCGGACACCTGGCGCAGGGGGGGTGAGAGAGCCGGAGTGGGGGTGGGGCGGACTGGCCTCTCTCATCGAGACTGGCGGTATTGGCAGTGGGGGAAGGGCAGCGGCCTGCCCGTGGCTCTGTTGGGGTGAAAGGAGCCGCTGGTGCTCCCTCCTCTCGTCGTTGATCTCGATGACGACGCGGTCCTCATCGCCCCCAGGCTGCTCCGCCTGGACGATCGACTCAGCGGTCGTCTCGCGGCTGTGGCTGTCACTCGCCCTGCCGTGAGTGTGGATGACGACGGCGACATTGCCATCGTCAGCCGGGGACCCCTCCCCGTGTTTGGGCTGGGTGCCCTGCACCAGCTCCCACCCCCACTGCAACACACTCCGGGGGGGCGTCGCGGCGCCATCAGCGGGCGATTCATCGGCGGTAGCTTGTGCCGCTTCGCTAGGGTCCGTCAGCCGCAGTGGGTAGTTGTGGGGGTTGGGCTTTGAGACCGACACCATCATGGTGGTCGACGCGCGGGGTAGTCGGCTGCGTGACGGCACGCGGATGGCTGTGGCGGCCCGGATCTTCTGGATCATGTCGCTGAACTGGGAGGGCGCGATGGACGGCTGGTCCGTCACCACCCCCTGCAGACCGATGGCCACATCGTTCAGCGCCAGCCGTGCCTGTAGCCCGCTGTAGTCGACGCCGTCCTGCTCAGCCAGGTCGTCGAAGAGTGAGGCCCACAGGCGGTCGAGGTTGCTGGCGACGGCCCACGCGACGAAGCATGCGATGACGATTGGCGTGGTGAGGGACCACTCGCGGCTGAGCTCCAGGACCAGGACGGTGGCCATGAGGGGCAGCCGGAAGGTCGACGCCACGGCCGCACCCATCCCGCACACCACACAGACGTACCGGAAGATGCCCGCCTCCACGCTCCCGCCAAGAATCTTCTCAGCGGTCGCATCTAAGAGAGAGCGGCCAACCCAGACGGACAGACGGACACAAGAGATGTCGCCAGCCTAGCCTGTTTTCCTCCTTCATTTCATTCAGTCACGACACTCACTCACCGAGCGGCATCCCATGGAAGACCAGGAAGACGTCAGCCACGAGCCGCCCCAGGACGGCGCCATACGCCATTGAGGGCGTAAAGACTCCGCCCGGTCCGTTGGCGGCGAATGAGAGAATGGTGACGGATAGCTTGAGGAGGTAGTAGAGGAGGCCCAGGCTCCCGCCTAAACCGGTGTCCAAGGTCGCTTCCGAAGTCGCTTCCGACGTCAGCAGCCTGACATAAGAAGGAGGGAGGGACATACCTCAGGGCATGGTGTGTGTGGGGCGTTAGCGTCAGGTGGGTTACTTGAGTGTGGGCTCGCCGATGCCGAACATGGTCTGGTCTGGGGCGATGAGTGAGAAGAAGAGAGCGTTCACCGCACCCGCGTAGGCGCCTATCAGGCTCAGCCGCACAGCAGCCCCACACCACCACTAGACACACACACACACACACACACACGGAGAGAGAGAGAGAGAGAGAGGGAGGAAACGCATTGAGACGTCGTTCCCTTCTTGAGCGAGAGAGTGAGAGTGCCCTCACTGACCTTGTGTTTCTTCTCCCACTTCTTGAACAGCCCCCTCAGTGGGAACATGGTCTTGCGCCACAGCAGGCCGTGAAGGCCGCACGCAATGCCCGCAGGAAACGCAGCCGCCTGATATATGGCAAAACACACCCCGATGGCAAAGAAGTATAAGTGTGCGACCGACAAGTGTGTGTGTGTGGTGGGTGGGTAAGGCCATTGGCTGCTTACCAGCATCCAGCCGGCCTGTTCGAAGTGCTCGACCCGCGCCCGGTCGTCGAAGACATGCCCCTGCGCTTCAATGTACCTGTCAACGAACCAACGAACCAACACGGACACAAATCACAAACACATACAGTCCAATGCACCCCCCAGGCTCCGCGCACCATTGCTCCTGGAACAGCTGGTGGGCCAACCGGAGAATGAATGTGGCGGTTGCGGTGGCGAGCAGCAGCGCGCCGACGGCTTCGCTCTTCCAGAACTTGAATATCTCCTCAAAGATGAAGACGCACCCTGCCAGCGGGGTGTTGAAGGACGCGATGCCCGCACTCGAACCCACAGCCACCTGGGTGGGTGGTGCCACGACACAGCAAGCCGTCTGTCTGTCTGTCTGTCTGTGAGAGGGAGTGTGTGATGGCTGACCATTGATATAATGACCTCAGGCGCGACGAGGCCCATCTTGGAGAAGAGCCACGCCGTGTTGGAGGCCAACGACGCGCAGCTGCACCACACACACACACACGTGTATTGGTGGCTGTTGTGTGTGTGTGGGTCCGTGCATGTCTGTTTGTGTGTGGCTACATACATATGCACGGATGGCCCCTCGATGCCCAGCCCATTGCCGCTGGCGATGTACACCACAGACACTAGAAAACGCCAGAAACACTCGTAAAGCGGTATCCTGACCCAACCAACACACGCACACACAGGCACACGCCCACGACACACACACACAGCCAGCCATCCATCCATCCAGCCCAGTTATCGATCCACCGGCCAACACACGAGTGCGCACCGTACCCCGTCCTAGCTGCGATGGCTGCCTTGGATCTGGTGAGCCCCGCGCCGCCGACCTTGGCGCAGGCGTGATCGATCACCAAACCTGATTGAGAGAGAGGTGAGCAAGTGAGGGATGGGTGGTGTGGTGTGGTGTGGTTGGTGACATACACACATGCACAAGCACACACCTACCTACCTGCAAAGAGTCCCCCGATGAGCGGCAGGGCTATCATGATACTGTACACTCCAGACACCTCGTGTGAAGGAAAACTCTGCAGATCGATGGATGGATGGGATGAGCACACAAAGCAAATGACAGACACAATTGGTAGAGGAAACACGAGTAACCTTCATGTCATGTGGCTGCCAGCGTACCTTCCAGAAGCCCGTCGAGTCCCAGTCTTGCTGATGCTCCCACTTGTCCACCCGCACAGACGACTTATCCGAGAAGGGCAGCAGCGACAAAACCCAAAAGGCCCCCGATGTCTTGTCGATCGCCAGCCGCAACGCGCACACCGCAACACCGCTGATCGACGGACGGATGACAACAGACAGACACAAACACAACACGTATGGAGCAATGTGTGTGTCGCCTCTGACTCATCTATCTCATTCACTCACCAGAGCAGCCCAGCGACCAAACAGCAAATCATAAGCCAAGCGGCCTTGGTAAAAAACTTCCGCCGATCCCCCGGCAGGTCAGAGAGGCTCGAGCCGCCCGTCGTCCCGATGCTCGCCATGCTCCCGATGCTGCCCATCGAGTACCGACTGTCCCATCGCGGCGGCAGTCCCACGGTACCAGGGCCATACAACACCCCGCTGTTCGGCGTGGATGGCCGCGGCGGGCGCAGCAAAGACGAGGAGGGTACCGACGCTTCACGGTTCCCAGACACGGGAGATTCCGGCACATCCACCACAGACTGTCGGGGTCCTCCAGCGTTGCTCATCCAGGAGAGTGACGCCGGACGGGCAGATCAGGGAAGGTAAGGCATAGGAGAACCCCGATAGCAGCGGCGGGACGTCATCGAGTGTCGACTGTGGGGTCACCGACCTCCCAGCAGCTGAAGGGAAGGGGCTGTCTTCTTCTTCACCCCTTGCGGACTTCGGGATTCCTTGCGAGAATCTTTGAAACTGCGGTGTTGTTGCTGTCGCGGATCTGTCAACTACCTTGGCTTTGTCCCCTTTTGCTTTCTCCTTTTCTCGATCGCTGCGAGCTCATCCCATTTTCCTTGCGAGCTTGGGGAAGGAGCGAGGTGTGGGTGTGTTCTGTGGCTTTGTCGCGTCCGCCCTTGGTACCAGGGGCGATACGAGCTCGGACCACCTCTTTAATTCGACCCAATTCGTTGGCCAGTCGTTGTGGCATCAGGCAGGCGGTGAGTGAGACGAAGCCGCCACATACGTCGACATTCCAGCCTGGAGAGCTTCTGGTGACCGCTGCCTGTGTCAGCTCTCACCTGGCGTCTCACGGGGACGAGACCTACCGCTGCGGGCGCTTCGAGCCATCTGCTGTCAGCTCCGGGGTCTGTCTGCCGGTGTTGCCATCAGCTGCCGGGGACAAGCCTTTCGGTGGATGTGCTGATTGACCACTGGCGGCGCATCTTCCTTCGATTGACCGACCAGCCGACCGACTGTCTGAGCAACACCGCACCGCCTGTGGGTGAGTGGCTGTGTGAGTGATCGATATGAGTGGCGACAGTAAGGGTGAGAACGGCCCGTCCGAGGCGACGCCGATGGCCACACTGGTGGAAGGGGCCGCCAAGGAGGGAACCATCGACTCACTCGGTAAGAGGATGGGGTATGTGGGGTGGGTGTGTCGACACACACACAGACATCGATCGCATCATCGCGCGTGTGTGTGTGTGTGTGTGTGTCAGATGTGGGTCCGGTTGACCTGGTGCTCAAGTGCACCAAGGGCCTCTTCCAGGGCAGATTCATCTACGTCAACAGAACGGTACCTGCCGCCACACTTGTCCCCCCACGATACACAAGATCCATCCAATCTTCTTTGCTTGCCGTGCTGTGCCGTGTCCGTGTCCGTGTGTGTGTGCAGCCGCAGGGTGAGGTGTTCGGCAGCGACCGCAGCTCGGTAAGGACACAAGACGGGCGCAGAGAGGGTCAATCTTGATCGGTGTTGCTGCGCATCGAATCGGTCAGAACGAGATAACGATGTACATCGAGAACGCCAACCTGTCGCTTAAGCACGCCGAGATCAAATACGTCGAGAGAAACCAAAACTACTTCCTCAAAGACGCACAAAGCGACGGTACTTACGCCGCCGACATTAACACACATAAGCTAGCTGTCTGGGTGAATCTTTGCCTCTGTGTGTGTGTGTGTGTGCGTCAGATGGTACGTTTGTGAAGGTGCAGGGCGGCCGTCGGCTGCCCATCCGGCCGTCTCAGCGACTGACCGTCGACGGACACGAGTTCGAAATCATCACGGGTGCACACACACACATCCACACGGACACCACATGAGCCAGCTTGTATGATGGATGTCTTGTGTTGGTTCAGGTGACCCCTTCACTGAGGAGGCCGCCCTGCGGCACTGGCTCATGTGCGCACGCTCAAACCCGTCACACACACACACACACACACACACAGACACACAGACACCGTCTCATGTGCTGTGTGCTGTGTGGTGTGCCTCCAGAGCCCATCGGCTCAACACCGAGCACTTCGAGTCGATCCTCTCCGCCCGCGGCCTCACATTACTCCCCGCCATAGAGACCCTCTTCACAGGATGGGACACCTCCTTCGCAACACCTACCAAGAAGCCGTCGGACACCACCACTACCACCACCACCAGCAGCAGTACTGAGGAGGGGAGCAGCACCGCCACCACAGCAGGGGCGGCGAGCGAGGCGGGCAGCACGACGACCACCACGAGTACCAGTGATGCGAGTGTGGAAATGCAGCAGGAGGTGTTGGGTCAGATGACGGCTCGCGAGAGGGCGCTGCTGCGGGTGGCCCTCAAGGAGATACGCCACTTCATGCCACACCCGGCCGACTCGGAGGGATCCGATGAAGGTACCTAAGTGTGTCTGTGTGACGAGGCGGTGGTGGGGGTGTCGTCTTTGGGACTTCGGTGGCCAACCAAGTGTGTTGTGTTGTGTTGTGGTGTGGTGTGTCGTCTGTGTGGTGTGTGCACTGCAGATGTGTCGAAACGGTCTGCGTGGGGGCATTCTCTGAAGCTGAGATCAGTCGAGACAGACCAAGTCTACGGAGAGGTACCTACAGCTCTCTCTCAGATGAGCAGCAGACAGACAACGGAAACATCCATCCCCCTCTCCCTCTGTTTCAGCTGTTCATGAAGGGCGGGTCCATCGGCGGCACCGGCGGCCTCCCCTCCTACGCCTTCTCCCCCACTGCCGCCCGACCACCGCCCACCACACCGCCTCTCCCAGACCTGCCGCAGCCACAGAGCGAGCCGTCGCCCATCCCATCACCAAACCGGACCGACCCCGCAAGCGTCGAAGAGCCAGCTGAGCCGCAGGACCCCGTCAGCACCGACGACGAGCCGGTCGCTGAGGCCGACGCCGCTGCCCCGCCCGCCCAGCAGCCGAACAATGTGGCGGTCAAGGGCGCGATGGCTGGGGCGGGGGGTGCTGCCACTGCTGAGGGGGGTGAGGCTGTAGCTACGACTGACAGCAACGGCGGTCAGACGGCCCCCACCTCTGACGCACCGGCACCAGCACCAGGGGGGGAGGAGGGTGAGGCCAAACTCAAGGAGCCCGCTGCGATCATCACCCCCAACGACGTGGGAGCCAACGGCCCCACCGCCGCCTCCCCAATCCCGTCAGACGGTCCATCGTCCAGCACAAGCAGCGGCGGGGACGCCCCTGCACCGCCCGACGACGACGAGGCCGTGGTGGCGAGCGAGGACGCCTGCCCTGCGGACGAGTGGGAGGGCGGTCCGGACGAGTTGGACAAACCGCAGCTGTGTTTGCCAGTGGTGGTGGGGCCGGAGGCTCACGAGCCCTTCGGCGGCTGGGGACAGTCTGAGGCCGGGCAGCTTGTGTCTGAGGAGGGTGCATCAGGCAGCAGCAAGGGTCGCGTCAAGAAGATGGGCGACAACTTCCTGCGCAGGGTCAGGGCGTGGATCGACGCACAGGACAAGGCAAGCACACAGACTGACAGACAGACAGACGCAGCACAGAGGGAGGGAGGGCCAATCATGTGTTGCTCGCGTCGCTCTGTAATGGTGGATAACAACTGCACAGGATGGTACGATCACGTTGGGCAACCTCGATGTGCCCTCCAAGCTGCTCGCCGTCTCGTTCCAGCACGGAAGGTGCGCACGCACGCACACGGCCGGCGGGCTTGTTGCCTGTGTGTGGTTGTGGTGCTGTGGCCACCGGTGCATTGTCTGTGTGTGTGTGTGTGCATGTCTGTGTGTCAGCTATGATGTGTGTCTGTGGAGGTGCCCGCCTGCGCAGCAGATCGAGGAGCCGGCCGACTGCTGGGTCCGACTCCTGCCAAGTACTGACTCACACACGCGTCACACACACACACACGACGCTCTTGAGTACACACACACATGTGCTGTGTTATGCTGGTCTGGTGTGGTGTGTTGTGTGCAGGTCAGCTCCACTGTTTGCGACCGGGTGACATCTTCAAGATCGGTTCCCTCGAGTTCACCGTCCTGCGCTTCAACACGGGAATCGGGGGCGAGATCGGCTTCCGCGCCACAATGGAGGACGAAGAGATTGCACTCCAGGTGAGGCTGGCAAAGGCAGCGAACCACACACCTCCAGAGGACACGACGGCCGGTTTCATGTGTTGTCCTGTGTTGTATTGGCTTGTGTCGTGTCGTGTTGTGTTGTGTGTGTGCAGGAGTTAGATGTGTCGGACAGGCGGCACGCCTCCTTCTTCGCTGTCTATGACGGGTGAGCGAGTGGCCTTGGCCACACACCCGAACCACCAGACCTGACCTCTCTTCTCTCTCTGGTGGTGTTTGGTTCGCTCTCTCAGCCACGGCGGCCGCGACTGTGCTGAGTACGTGCGGCGTCACCTGCACCTCAACTTCATCGAGCGCATACAGAGGGCCGGCGGCCTCGACGGCTCAACCAACGTACACAAAGACATCGTGGACGCTATCAAATACGTAAGGAAACAAAGCGAGACAGACAGGGAGGGAGGGCGTCAGATGCTCTCATCCGCCGGTGTGTGGTGTGGTGTGTGTAATGGTGCACAGGCGTTTCTGAAGACGGATTCTGATTTTCTGCACCGCGTGAGCTCCGGTCCGGCGCATACGGGGTCGGGGTGCGCCGCGGTGTGTGTGGTGGTGGTGGGCGGCCACATTTGGTGCGCCAACTGCGGCGACAGCCGCGCCGTCCTCTGCAGAGCCGGACAGGCACTCAACCTCTCACACGACCATAAACCGGTAAGTACCAGCCACACACACACACACAGACAGCCACACAGACAGAGGGAGAGAAACGCGCGTAGACGTGTGTGTTGATGTGTGTGCGTCAGGATCGTGTTGACGAGCACAAGCGCATCGAGGCTGCTGGGGGGTTCGTGAGCTACCGTCGTGTCCTGGGGCGACTGGCCGTCTCGCGCGCCTTCGGAGACTACGACTACAAGGTCAGTCAGGGACACCACACCACACCACGCCATAGAGATGCTTGTGTGTGCCTTCACGTACGTCTGTCTGTCTGTCTGTCTGTGCTATGGTTCGTTCCTTCCTTCATTCAGTGCATCCCGAAGCGCAGCGTTGACGACCCCAACAACGACGAGGGGCCCGCCGGACCACTCGTCATTTCTGAGCCGGAGGTGAGCCGCCACTCTCTCACACCCACACATAGATGGACGGCCCAGATGGATGGATGGACGGATGGATGGATGGGTGCCATCAGATTCGCCACGAGAAGGCGACGAGTCAGGACGAGTTTGTGCTGCTGGCGTGCGACGGGCTGTTTGACGTGTTCAGCAGCCAGGAGGCCGTGCAGTTCGTCAGAACACGGCTGGCAGAGATGCCCAGAAACGAGCAGGTATGTATGTCGTGTCATCGACGGCGAGGCGAGCCAAGAACAAGCCAGCCATGGGGCAGTGTATGTGTGTGTGGCCGCGTGTGCGTGTATGTGTGTGCAGGACCCTCACCGTGTGGTTCAGGATCTCATCCACGAGGCCATCCACAATCGGAGATCAAGGTGGGCGGTCACGCGTGTGTGTCACTTGTGTGTGCCTGCCTCATTGTTGTGGCTGCCTGGCCTGGCTATGTGTGTGGCTGGCTGTGTGTCTTGTAAGGGACAACGTGACGGCCATCCTGCTGACGTTCAAGCGCTACATCCACTCACACCCGCCGCAGCACCAAACAAGCTCCAGCAACCCCTCCAACACACAGGCGCACTGACCGACAGACACCGGGATGGATGGACCCCCCAGAGGGAAGGGGCAAACAAACGGGAGGGCGGGCTGTGCATACTTGCAGTCAGTCACGCGTGCAGTGTGTGCGTGGAATGGATGTGGGGGCGGGCAGTGACAACCAGAGTGCCATAGCCATACCTACCTCCCTCTCCGTCTCCCTCTCCCTCTCCTCACCTTGTCGGTCGCACATCAATGGATGCCTGCCTGCTTTGGGTGGGGGGGGGGGGGGGGGGGA